GGGGGGCTGCCCGGGTGGTGGCGCAGATGCGGCTGCCGCCGGTGAAGGAAAAGGTGGGAAAAGGAAGGGTTTTGATAACGAAGGAGAAGGAGCGAGAGGCGAAGAAGAAAGGGGGTAGGATTGGCGCGGGAGCAAGAAAGGTGGTACGAGCGGGGTTTGTCGATCGACCGGTGGCGGTGGGGATGGCGGTGGCAAGTTGTTAGCGCCGGCGAAAGGGGTGAGAGTGTAGTTTTGTGAATTGTTGAAGAGTTTTGTGTGAATTGTATTTGTTGGAGGGCGATTGAAGATTAAGGATGAAGTGAGATAATAATGATTTATATTTTTTAATGGGAGAAATCAATTAATTGTAGTTAATTTGTTGGCTAACTATGATGGCCTTGGAGCAAGAGTCAATTGAGCAATCATTAAATTCAGACATGGAAAATATTAAATATTTTTCATTGTAATTATAATGGATTTTATAACCTCATTGTCTTTGTTATGATGAAGATATGATTTTCATTTGGGGGCATTTATATATGCATTTACAGATTTAGCCCCTAAACTTTATTTGTTGATTTTATACCACCCAAATCTTTCATATCATGCTATTTTAATTTTTAAGAAGTAAAAATATATCTTTTCATGCATTAGAAAAGACTGCATGTTCAATAATGAATTAGTTTGCTTATACGGATATGAAGGATTGAGATGACTTGAGCAATATATATTGTGAAAGGGGATGATTTTGTTATTATGATAAGTCTTCTTAATCTCAAGAAATCTAAATCATAATTTAGATTTTAGGAGGGCTTAATTGAAATGTAATGAATGGATCTTACAAAATCAATGGGAGTGAATTGATTTGATTTGAGATGCTTTATTACTCTTAAAATTTTGATTATTGAGATATTGAATGTATGATTTGGAAGATACATTGGCGGGTCTTACTTGTCTGGTAAGGAGTTGTGAGCACGCATATTGAAGATTTAAAAGGAAATTGTGAGTACACAGATTGAAGACTTATATTGTTTGATCAATGACGTGAAACAACAAGATGTAACTGGGTTGACAGACATAGCAACAAACGATAGAATCCAGTTGATTGGGGCTAAGCCATGACAATCTCACTGGGACGGACTACGCCTATGTAGATGAAAGACTACTAGGAGCACAAAGGGAAATGAACAGATAGAAATGTGGGTGATAGACTGATCCACACATATAGAATAAGTTATGTAACTAATTAGACAACTGTCCAATTCTTATTTGCTTAAGCTGCTTAGGTTGTTAGAAACATGGAATTGAAGAAATGAGTAAGGTGAGTATAGATAGTACTTTGAAGGAGTGGGTAAGACGAAAAAGAAACATTTGGTTTTCCCTTCTTCTCCATATGTAACTTCTTTATTCCTTCCTACATCTACCTCTTCTCCTGCACCTCAATGCCCTTTCTTCTATTGCTTCTTTATTTCCAACTAATCTGCTTTGTTTCAGGTTATCAATAGCAATCTGCAATGTTTCAGGTTATGGGCAGCAGGAAACTCTTCCGAAGGGAACTATCCTTGGTGCTTTCGTTGAGAGTTACTCTGTCCGCCCTGGTTGACAACAATAACTAGAATGCTAGGTTCAATAACACCACTGGATCAAAGGCCGATGCAACGTTCAACCTATCTGAGATTGTGGATATTCTTAAAGAAGTGCAACTTGTTTAATTTTACTCAATGTCAAGCAAGATTAAGCTACCAAACCCATAGAACCCTCCAAATCCCCCCACCAAAACCTTCACCTTCTATATTCCTAGAATTTGCAGGCCTGTTTGAGGAACCTAAATGGCTACCCCCTAGCCGCCAAGGAGATCATCAAATTCATCTAATTCAGGCGACTATTCCGAAAAGCATTCGACCCTATAGATACCCCACCTTCACAAAGCAAGTATAAAAAAATTAATCCATGAAATGTTGCAATCTGGCATCATAAATCCCAGCATTAGTGCTTACACATCCCCAATCCCTTTAGTCAAGAAGAAGGACGACACATGGTGGTTTGTGACAAGTATAGATGTCTTAATCACACCACTATACCAAACAAATTTCCAATTTCAACAATTAATAAAAAGCTGGACGAATTACAGGGTGCTTCAATTTATTCCACACTTGATCTTCAATCGGGTTGCCATCAAGTCTACATGGCAAAGGATGATATTCATAAGACTACAATCCGAACACATGAGAGCCACTGTGAATTCACCGTGATGCCTTTTGGCCTCATGAATGCTCCCGCCACTTTACAAAATCTTATAAATAATATCCTATAGCAGTAATTACGCAAATTTGTTATAATGTTTTTTGGCAATATTCTTGTTTACAGCATTTCGAATCAAGCGCGCCTCAAGCAGCTACGAGCGGTATTCAGCATTCTCCTTGCTAATAAATTAGATATTTGATTATCCAAGTGCTCAATTGGAGAATCACAAGTTGATTATTTGGGACATTCAGCGCCCATTGAAAGGTATGTCCACATCAAAAAAAGATCTGTGCCATCTTACCTTACACTAACCCCAACGACGCTCTATCAAAATATTGCGAGGATTCTTAGGCTCAGTAGGATAGTATCGTCGCTTCGCCCAAAATTTTGCCTTGTTGGCTAGCCCTCTCACCGACTTGTTACAACAGGATGCCTTCAAATGGAATGAAAAAGAGTAGCAAGCATTCAATATTTTGAAGCATAAACTGGCTAATTTCCTAATTTTATCACTTCCTGATTTGTCCAAGAATTTTATATTTGAGGCGGATGCCTCAGGCACTAACATGGGAGTAGTCCTTTGCCAAGACAATAAACCCATCACTTTCTACAGCAAGAAATTGAACTACCATATGCAGCAAGCTTCTACATATGTCCAAGAATTATATTTGATCATCAATGATCAAATAAGCATTTGTAAACTGTTAACACAAACCATTCAAACTTCCGACCAACATCATTTTCTTATCAAATTGTTGGGGAATGATTTTTCAATTGAATATAAGCCAAGCAAATCTAAGATTATGGTTGATTCTCTATTTCGAATGCATGAAGTGAAGGGACGGGAGAGTCTCCCATCACATTGACCATCGTAATCACAACTTCTTTGTCTTCTCTATTAGCCACTCTCCGTGAAGAAACAAGCCACCTACCTGAACTTATCCAGCTCAAAAGCCAAATGGAAAAAACAGCCCGAGAACCATCAAGAATACATTATACAAGAACTAATAAAAAAACATGGCAAAATAATAGTAGCTTCGAACTCCGCAAATAAGTTGTCTTTATTGGAATTACATCATACCGAGGTTGTTGGGGGTCATGCGGGGATTCACAAGACTCTATGTCGTCTTAAGAGTCATTTCTTTTTGCCAAGAATGAAGCAAGATGTCATGAAATTTGTTATGAGTTGTTTGATTTGTTCGGCTACCAAATATCAACCCCTCACACCAGCTGGACTCCTTCAACCCCTCCAAATTCCAAAGGCGACATGGGAAGATATAACCATGAACTTCATTGCTTGTCTTCCATTTGCACAAGATAAGTCTACAATCATGGTAATTGTTGATTGTCTAACCAAGTATGCTAATTTTATTGCTATAAAGCCCCAGTTGGTACCCGTTGTTGCTATCATATTCATCTATGAAATTGCCGCCATCATGGCATCCCAAGACCATTATATCAAATAGAGAAACCATACATGAGCTCATTCTAGCAAAGCCCATGTAAGAAAATGGGCACTCACTTGAATTACAACACCGCTCATCATCCAAAGATGGATGGGCAAAGAAAAGTAACAAATCGAACTCTTCAGTAGTATATACGTTGTCACATCACGAATAACCCAAAAAAGTAGCCAAATTTTATTCCTTGGATGAATATTCTTATAATACTTTATTTTATTCCTCAATAGACATGACCCCTTATCAAGCTTTTATGGTTGATGTCAACCACCAGTACATCATTATTAGGGACGAACAATTGAACTACTTAATGTTATTGAATGGTTGCAGGAACGTGGTTGGATTTTTCAGAATCTTTGTACCAACCTAACTCGAGCAAAACAACGTATGAAACATGTTGAGAAACATCGTTGTGACATTGAGCTGAAGGTAGGGGACAAGGTGCTCGTCAAACTACAACCTTATAGGCAAAATACGCTTAGACATTGAGCTGAAGGTAGAGGAAAACTGATGTGAGTTCTCTAGAAAGACTATTTGATTTTCATAGTGAATTTCTTGGCAGCGTGGCTCCGTGATTTTTTCACGGTCTTGAGTTTTATCCACGTAAAATTCTCTTGTGTTTTTTTAGTTGCTTTGATTCATTTTTTTATCTTTGTTTTCTTAAATTAATGTGATCATGTGATTTCGTGATTTGGTTAGTTTCTAATTGATCCTAAGCCCAAGTAAATTTGGAAATTATCTTAGAGAATTCCTACCAAAATGGTATCAGAAAGGGGTTAAATTCGAGTGTGAGTAATGACTGAAGAAGCAAGGTGGAGAAGTTCAATGGGACGAACTTCGCATTCTGGAAGATGCAGGTAGAGATTTGTTGTATCAGAAAAAATTATATTTGTCACTACAATGAATCACAAGGAAGTCTGAGACTACTATGCCTATGGAGGAATGGGAAGTGTTGGATTGAACGACATTATGTTTGATCTAGTTGTCACTTTTCTCATATGTTGTATTCAATATTTTGAATGAGAAAACTACGGTGAATCTCAATACTGCACTGGCCAAGATATACGAAAACCTTCTGCTTTCAATAAAATTCTTCTGATGAAGAAGTTATTCAACATGAAGATGATGGAAGGCATTTCAGTGGTAGAGCATCTAAATAATTTATAACACTGTGACGAGTCAGTTGTGTTCTATGAGAAACAAATTTGATGATGAAGTTAAAGCACTATGATACTATCTTCATTGTCGAATTGCTAGGATGGTTGGTAACGGCAGTGAGTAATTCTTCAAGGATTTCGAAGTTGAATTTCGATGACATCATGGGTCTAATGTTAAATGAAGAAGTTCGCAGAAAAGCAGCAAATTGTGAAACTTCAGGTTCTGTGATGAATGATGATAACAGAAAAAGGAATTTGGGTAAGAATACAGGCAGAGGTAGATCCAAGTCCAAGACAGGAAAGCCCATGTCAAGCAGAGGAGAATGCTAAAAATACGGTAAGAAAGAACATTTTAAGAAGGACTGCAAAGCTCAAGGAAAGCTGGTGGTAGAGGACAGGTAAGTAGTTTCTCTACTAATATCTCCATTGGTGAAATTCAAAGTGACTCTATGGTGTTATCCCTAGTCGGTACTTGATCCTGAATAGTAGATTCAGGTGTCTCTTTTCATGTTTGCCCTCCAATAAAGAGGTATTTAAAAACTATACTCATATTGATTTAGGGAAGGATTATCTAGGAGATAAAAAGACACGTCGTATAGTAGGAATGATGATGTTGATATCAAATTGTCGAATGAAATTCTGGAAGCTTATTGAAGTTAGACATGTTCTACGTTTGATGGAAATTGTATCTCTGTGAGCCATCTGACAAAATTAGGACTTGTGACTACTTTCACAAGTGATTCGTGGAAGGTGGCTAGAGCTCTAGAATCAGGGTGTATGCAAGTTTGTGGCACCGTAGGCTTGGACATATGAGCAAGAAAGGTATGAAGTCCCTACTTGCAAAGAATAAGCTTCAGGGTTTGAAATTAGTTGATTCGGATTTCTTTGATGATTGCATATATTGTAAGCATAAGTGTTTCTTTCTCTAGGTCAGTGGTGAAATCAAAGAAACTGAAGTTAGTGCATACTGATGCACGGGATCCTATTCCAATTCAATCCCTTGGAGGTTCTTGCTATTTTGCACGTCCATTGATGATCACACGAAAAAGATATGGGTGTATTTTTAAAAATAAAAATCATAGGTATTGAAGTCTTTAAGAAGTGGAAGGTTGTGATAGAAATTGAGACAAGCTTGAAGTTGAGGTGCCTAGAATCAAATAGTGGGGGTGAGCTCCGTGACTAGAATTTCAGGAATTACTGTGCTACAAAGAAGGTCAGGCATGAGTTCACTGTCTCAAGTACACCACAGTAGAATGGTGTGACTGAGCGCATAAACAGAACAATCACGGAGCGTGCTAGGAGCATGAGGCCGCATGCAGACTTGTCAAAATAGTTTTAGGCTGAAACAATAAACACTATAGTTTATTTGATTAACTGTAGTCCATCAGTACCCTTAGAGGAAGGCTTACCCGAAAAAGCCTGGAGTGACAAAAAGATATGTCCATCTCATTTAAAAGTATTTGGGTGGTATGCATATGTGCATGTTGATGCAAGGTCTAAGAGCAAGTTTAACTCAAAATCTGTCACGTGCATCTTCATTGGATATGATTCAGATGAATTTGGGTATAAGTTGTGGGATTAACAAAATCATAAATTCATTAGAAGCAGAGACGTCATTTTTAACGAAATGGAGATGTACAAGGATAGGGTCAGAACTCAGGATAGTTACTCAGCTGCTTTTGAAGAATCCATATATGTAGAGATAGATAATACTAGTGATCAGGAAGATGGAGAAAGAAAAAGTGTTCAACCAGGAGTACTAAAAGTTACATGTTACATAAGTCAAAAAAATCAGCAGAGTGATATGACCTGTGCACAAGCATTCTCTTTTTTTACACTATTTATTACTAACTGATAGTGGTGAACTAGAGTGCTTTGATAAGGGCACTCAAAGTTCAAGATTCAAGGGAGTGGGAGCTTGCATACATGAACAAATGCAATCTTTAGAGTCAAATCATACTTGAGATTTGATGTACTACCAAATGGCAAAAGAGCATCACACAATAAGTGGGTCTACATGTTGAAAGAAGAGTTAGTAGCAAGTGTTACAAGACACGACTTGTTGTGAAGGGTTTCCAACATAAGCAAAGATAAATATTATATAGAAATCTTCTCCCCAGTGGTGAAGATGAGTACTATCAGGGTTGTGCTGAATCTGATAACAGAAGATTAAGATCTGGAGCAGATAGATGTAAAAACAATTTTCTTACATGGAGATTTGGAGAAGCTATACATGGTGTAACCACAAGATTACAAGGTTCCTGGAAAAGAAGGTTTGGTGTGTAGATTAAAGAAGAGTCTCTATGGCTTGAAGCAGGCCCCGAGATAGTGGTACAGAAGGTTTGACAGGTTTATGTTAGAAAAAATATACTTGAAGTACCAGGCAGACCACTGTTGCTTCATGAAACACTTCGATAAATGTTATATTTTGTTTCTTTTGTATGTGGATGATATGTTGATTGCAGATATGGAGAAAATCAGAGACTTGAAGAAACAGTTATCAAGTGAGTTTGAGATGAAAGATTTAATCCAACCTGGAAGATCCTTAGGATGAGAAACAACATGGACACAAGTGTAGGAACACTTAAATTGTCTTAGACAGAATATGTTGAGAACAAAGCTTTAACATAAGTGAGGCGAAACCAGTTAGCACTCCTTAGGTAATCACTTTAAGCTATCGCCTAACTCTGAAGTAGAGTAAGCACAGATGGAGAGAATTTTGTATGCTTCAGCAGTTGAAAGTTTGATGTATGCGATGATTCATATTTGGCCAGATATTGCATATACAGTGGGAGAGGTCAACAGGTACATGGGCAATCTAGGCAGGTATCATTAGAAGACAGTAAAGTGGATTCTCAGATATTTGGGGCAACAATCACAGAGCACTTTGTTATGGTAGTGCAGAGATCAGTCTACAAGGATTTATAGATTCAGATCTAGTAGGAGATGTGGACAATAGGAGAAGTACAACAAGGTATATCTTTACATTGGGGATCACAACAGTGAGTTGGGTTTTCAGGTTACAGAAGATCGTTGCACTTTCAACTACGGAGGCCGAATATATAGAATTGGGCAAGGAGCAGAGGATTTGAAAATTCTACAGTGACAGTATGAGTGTGATTCATATTGCTAAGATAGTTGTTTTTCATGCCATGACGAAACACATTCAACTAAGATATCATTTCATTCGCTCTTTTCTTGAGGATGAGCAGTTATTCGTGCAGAATATACATACAGCTCAGAATCATTCAGATATGTTGACGAAGGTTGTAACTATCGAGAAACTGAAGCTATTTTTGGTTTCAGTTAGGTTTCGTGAAGGTTAGACCAGAGGTGAGCCATATCACGGTACGTGACTGCAGTACGTAACTATGAAGGTAATTCAAATGGAGGTGCATGTACAGAGGATTGATGTTGGGTGTTATAGTCTCTGAGTCGAAGATTGTTGTGTTTAATTCCGAAAATAAAAAAAGTTCTAAAATAAATTTGGAAGATTTAAAAGCATACCACTCAATTCCTATGTATTTACACATCTAACACCTAAACTTCAATTTATACATAATCTATGCATGAAAAATGTGTATTCATTATAAACTAGTCGTATTTAATATGTGATACGAAGGAGGTGGATGGTATAAATGTAAAATAATAAATTTAAGGTGTTAGCTATGTAAATACATAGGAATTGGGAGGTTGTATATAGATGCTACAGCAAATTTTGATGGCAACTATAAAGAATACCAATAAATGAACAACAATGATTATGATTAAATGAACAACAATGATGATGATTGATTGCTCCGAATAACCAACATATCAATATAAACAAAATTCCCAGCAAATCAAATGTTGAAAATGATATTTAGCCTAAATCACAACAACAAACTTAATGGTGCCTATAGCCATAGCATAGTTTGAAAGATATAGCATAAAAATCACCTTCAGTGGAGTGCATATAGCCATAGCATAGTTGAAATATGTAGGTCCATATCTTCATTTCTTTATATTTCCTTATTATGCTAACAATTAGATAAACATAATCATTGGCCACATCAAACTAATTAGACTCACCCATCAAGCTTCTTTTTTTCCTTTTTTTGTTTAAGTTTTGCATATAAAAATAATATTAATTTCTTAGAATTAAACAAAAATATGACACTCAATAAGACGCAATAGAGAAAAAGGATTCATATAACTGACCCCACTTGCTGGGATGAAGGCCTGTTGTTGTTGTTGCTGCTTAAGTTTTGCATATAACCTTAGTTCTATTTATTGAAGACTTTTATCCCTATCTTCTAGTCAAGTTATTATTCCTTTATATTTTTATCTTCCAATTTCTTTTACATCGTTTCGTCCCACCATTTTATTTGTGAATCATTTGATTTCCGTTGTATATGCCAAAATTTATAGAAAATTAATTAAAAAAACCATCAACTCCAGCAGGAGCTACCCACAATCTAACTAAAACACTCATTTCCCACCCTAATCAATTCTAATTTAACCAGAGAATCATCATGAATCCTCCTTTCTTGCAACTGTAACTCTTTTCTTAAATTCTTCTTCAACTTCAAAACTTTGTGGTATTATTATATCATATAATCCTGTTAAGGCGCTTCTTCAGTCTAACCACCCAAATTTAATCACAAGATTAATATACTCGTCAATATTTTCACTCTTAAATTTCTACAGATTTTAAGCTAAGGCACCCATCGATCCCATAACAATATTGATGGCTACAAATATTTACGGGCATTTACATACATGCACACAATTCTAATGTATTTACATATCTAACACCTAAACTACTATATTTACAAACATAACATCCAAATATTCGATATCACAACAGAAGTATAACTATTGCTCACTTTGTAAAAGAGAAACACACCTTTTCATGCAGAGATTTATGACAACAAAGTGTTAAAAGTGTAAATATGAAGTTTAGATCTTAAATATGTAAAAACATAAGAAATGTGAAGTATGCATCTAAATTTCCTTAATTTTTATTAATTCACAAAAAATAGCATGTAATTGACAATTGCTTGATTTAAACCAAACAATTGCGTTAGTTTCTCAATCAGAAGTAAACAAATGGATATGCACAAAATGTGTCGAATACAAGTTGATCGTGCCGCAATATTAGCTGATTATTATTGATTTCACATGTGAAAAATCAATTTATCAGGTACTCACTTTCCCAGTAGTATTGATATCATTTATCAATATTTTATTATCTATCATGTATTTTAAAACAGCAAATATGCCTTTAGAATACTACATCTAAGTCAGTAGATGTCAAGGACCTGCTTTTCGAGAGTGAAAAAACAGAG